TCAAAGGGGGTTATGTAGGGGATTACATAGGGGAGTATTATAAGGGTTATTAAGGGGGATACTAGGAGTGTAGACTACTATAGCTGATATTAGTGAGTCACAACTGTGTAGTATTAGGCACGGCAGTAACCTTGTTGCAGATGGTGTTGGCAGCGCCAGCGGCTACGTTTTCGTGGTGGATAATGGCAGTTTCGAGGTGCGCGTGCAAAGAGGGCTTGTAGAGTTGCTGTACTGTTTTTCTGGACGGCTAAAAGGGAGGGGGACCCATGCATTTCTGCAATCGTGTACTTTCTGGCAGAGACAGGCATTCTCGAGGTTTTGTGGAGTTTCAGGGCTGGGTAAGCAGACTTACCAAGAGCCTTTCCCGGCTTGATACCATCATCGTGTTTGTACCTTTCGAGGATTTCGGCAGTGTCTTTGACCTAGCGTCTTGTTTGCCCCTTTACTTACATGATGCACTTCCCTCCCGAGATTGCTACCTGGCAGCTGGCTGTTGGTTTCTCATGAGCCGTGGCATTCAGGAAGCGGCAAGGACAACAGAGCCTTAAATCCAGCAAGAGTGTGGCGCCTGCATCGAACTGGCGCTGAATATTCTCACCAGTGCTTCTGGCACCCCGAACATGGAAGCCAAACCTGAGCCTCTCTAAAGATGTTTACCTCTATAGTCCCCCTTGAGTAGATAGAATATGGCTTTGGGTATATTCTAAAAAGAATTTCATATACCCTATATCTTTCTACTTAAGGGGGATTATATCCCTAAACCCCAAACCCTAATAAATCCTAAACCATACACCCTAAACCCTAAACCCCAGGGTCTAGGATTATCCCCGAAGGGGGACTGTAGGCAAGAAACTCTAAATCTTGCGGCGCCTGTTTGTGAGCCCTTGCTCCGTGGTCAAGGTTCGCATTGATGGAACCCCGGTGGCAACGCTGGCAGCCTGGCAGAAGAAGGGGTTTAGGGTTATCCCCCAAACTAACATGCAAACCCATATAGTCCCCTTTAGTCTTTATGAGGCCTTTTTTGGGTTTCCATGTTAGTTTCCGGGAGCGTAGGGTTTAGGGTCTAGGGTCTGGGGGTCCTACGGGGAAGTCTAGACTTGGACACGCTGAGGCAACCGACCGATGATCAAACCACCTGCAAGAGCTCATGCCAGAAAAATCTGGGAACATTGCAAAATGAGATTCTACTATAATTACCATTTGTACTATTTTTAAAATGATTCTAGTTGTTAGTATTATTATCATTGCTTTTACCACTATTGTTTCTTGTCTAGCTACAAGTAGAGCACACTAGAGCTGGGAAGGACTTTTGAGAACCTTGCACCACGTGTTTGGCTGGAGCTTGCTCAATCTGAACTCCAAGTTTAGCCTGTGGAACAATCTATGTAGACAGGCGCAGCCTCAACCCTGAACCCTAAATCCAAACCACGTAAACTCCACCAACAGAGCCAAAAGTACAAAGGTGGGCATTCCCTGAGATATGGGGTTTAGGGTTTTGAGTTTCTCAAACTTACCCCTCCCTTGGTATATGGTAGTTCACATAAAAACGCGGGAACGAATGTAGACCCCCAAACGTTGTAATCCTTATTTTGGGGACCGAAAAAAAACTTCGACTTTCGGGAAGTGCTCACTTATGATTCATGACATATCTCTTGGGTCCTGACAACTCCGTATATGCACGGTATCCCACCCAGCCGTGGCTCAGAGAGGTTACTCACCCCAAGGTAGTCCCTTCGTGAGGCTTACTCAGGATTAGCGTTTAGGGATGAGGGATCTAGGAGAACGCATGAAAGTTTGGGCTACCTTGCCCCAAGCTAACATGGAACCCCATGTCATGAATGTAGGATTGCTCACAATAAGCATTCTTTCATTTTGGGGGGCATACAGAGACCATACTTTGGTCAAAAACCTAAGCGGAAGTTTCTTCAAAAAGACAGCCACTTGTTCCCCGAGCACAGACCGCCACAGTCCCCCCGCATGTACGAGCGGTCTCTAAACCCCAAAGTGCAAACCTTACGCCTCATTTGAGAAACCCTAAACTCTACACTCCAAACCTTACACCTTTATTTTGAGCAGGCCCCTCCAAACCCTAATAAATAAACCAAAATCCTAAGTCTCCTCCAGGGACGTGGATGCACCTTCGGCTGGAACTTTCTGATGAAGCAGCCGCAGTATGCAGGCTGCAGGAAGCCAATGGCAGAGGGCTTTACAGGGAATACGAATGGTTGGGGTTGTGTGAGCTGTATATAGTCTAAATTCCATGAAGGGGGTTATATAATTATAGGGGATTATAGGGAACTACCGAGGGTTGATTAAGGAGGATACTAGGAATTTTATGACTATAGTTCATATCAGGTCTAAAGATATGTACCCATGTAGAGAGATTCTACCAAGGAATTCACAGGGATCCTTTAGGATAGCAGCCTTGGCCTAGCATTGATGCCAAAAATCGAGTTTCTACAAGGGAATTCACAAGGGTTTTGCAAGACAGCGTACGGGTCATCCTCTACTTTAGCTTGCAGCACTGTATAGATCCTTTTTTTCAAGGACACTGTTCCGTAGGGGTCCGCCTAACTCTAAACCCTAAATTTTGAAGTTCAGGCATGGCTAAAGGAACTACAGCAAGGGACATTGAATCTTCTCCCCCTAATATCGAATCTCCTTCACGGATATTAGATATTCCCAACATAATTATACTATACCATAGTGGGGAGTATTTAATGTTAGGGGAGTGGGGAAGTGTAATACCTGGGGGGAGAGGATTATTGTCCGAACGGAGCGAGGCTTTGCATTGCCAAAGGTGATGGCTTGTCAAGTGGGTAGTTCTTAGGTGGACCCCCCACCCCAGTAATCGTGACTATAGGGGATAATAGGGATTATATTAGGGTCCTCTCATATTCTGATTATACCACTATTACAGGGTGGGAGGTCCTCCTAAGGTAGTTCCCAAAATCAGGGTCCCAGTTTGGTACCCCCAAATATTAGGTGCGGTAATATAATCTATAACCAAGAAGGGGTCGTTAATTTTGAGAACAAACCGAATGTGCAACCGAAGCAAAGGTCTCGATGTTCGCAGTAGAAGTCTTAGTGCTGGTATACGGTATACGTTAGGAGAACGCCCCCACCCAGTACTAGTGACAATAAGGGATAATAGGGATTATATTAGGGTCCTCTTATATTCCTATTATACCACTATTACAGGGTGGGGGGTCCTCCTAAGGTATACGGTATACGGTTAGTTGAGGCAAGGAATGCACTCGGCTCTGCAGGTTTACCATGGGTTTCGGGGTTATAGGTTAGGAGGACCCTGCCCGGTAATGGTGGTATAATAGTAATATAAGGCGGACCCTAATATACTTACCATTATCCCTTATAGTCACTATTACCGGGTGGGGGGTCCACCGAAGTTATGGGGTTTAGGGTTGTACAAACCATGCCTTGTGCCTGTGGGCCCAAGCGAGCTCCTCCACTTGAGCAGACATCTTGCGTACAGACCTGTTCGATCATCCACGCCTTCCATGGCAGCTGTGTCCGACGAGGAGACGGGCACGCTCTGGGCAGCTGTTTACCCTGGGCTCTTCATCTCAACCAAGGAGGGATCCCAGGATTATAGCAGATTAAAGGAGAATGGGATTACTGCCATTTGCGCCGTCGCAAGGGGCCTTGAGCTACATTTTCCTGGCAGCTTCCGCTATCACGCAGTAGACCTCCTGGACGATGGTACAGATGACCTTCTTCAACACCTTCCGGGTATCCTACGCTTCATCAAAAGTGCGCTATCTGACGGTGGGAAGGCAGGGTTCCCCTAACCTCGATGCCCTAAGTCCTAAATCCTCGCGGGGGTTAGAAGACACAAATCCTGAATCTCGAAACTCCCTGTAAGGTTCTAGTGCACTGCCACGCTGGAATGAGTCGCTCTGTGTCGTCCGTAGTTGCCTTCTTGATGCATGTTTCTGGGTTGCAGTAAAGGAACTTAATCTAAGTTACTATATTTGGGAACCTATATTCATTACCATATATACCCATCATGGTATCCCTAAGCCCTAAACCCTCAGCCCTAAACCCCATGTACCTTATACGTATATGGTACCATATGTACCCATTATGGTCATTTAGTTTTAGGCAACCCAGGTTTGGCAGCTGCCACGGGATCTCTCCCTGGCCATGCTTCGAGCTCAGTACAAACATGCGGCCCCTGCTGAGAACTTCCTGCTTCAGCTGAAGCTCTTTGAGGAGTTTAGGGTTTAGGGTTTAGGGTTGCAGCTGAAGCTGACTGAGGAGGGATGGCAATGTGGGTTATATCTCTATATCCCCGCATAGTCCCTATATAACCCTACACAACCCTGTATCTGGTAACTTCCATTCCGTTTTCCATTTGATTCACCATTTGATTCACTTGATTCTCCATTATCCCCCTGGAGGAGGTGGGAGCACAGATTTGGGAGGATTCAGACGTTCCAGCTGCCATTCGTCATCGTCACGCAAGGGAGGCTGAGGCAGCGGCTGCTGCACAAGTTGGAGGGAAGGGCTGCTCTCAAGCCGAGGCTGGCTATCTGACTTGCAGTCCAAGCACAGAGACAGTGGCATCCATGGCGGACTGCCTAGATGAAGATAGCAGTGGATTCTGGCAGCATGCATTGTCGAGGATTCTCGTGCAGCAGGGCCGCAGGCTTGCAAGCGAGGCTGACAACGAGGCTCGAACAGTGCTGGCAAGATCCGGCGAGTCCCCTTGCCGAGTCTTCATCCGCATGTTCAAGGATCTCGAGCTTAAGCAGACGGACTCAATAGTAGTAATAACAATAAATATATTAATATCAGTATCAAGAACAATATTAAGAATATTAGTATTAATACTTATAATACCAATAGTACTGTTAATATTAGTAGTATGAGTATTATAGATAATATTAATCATATTACTAATATCAATAGTAAAGACAATTTCAGTAAGATTGATAAATACTAATAATAGTACTAATCCTAAGCCCTGAACCCTGGAGGAGCTCGGAGTTAAGCAGATGGACTGCGAGTTGTCACAGGCACTTGCCTCTGCGTTAGTGTTGGAGATGACACCTCTGGCGCAGCAGCAAGGCGACACAGCCAAGACAGTAGCTGGGTCCGCGTTATTTCTTCTTTTTTTTGGGTTAAGGCTTTCCTCCTCCACAATAAAATGGTAGTTTCCATTTTCTCTTCCATGCCTTCATCCATATGAACGATCAGGTCTGCTTAAATGACACCATTTTTTTTTTCTTCCTAGGTGCCCGGGAACTACGCTAAGGTAGTAGAAAGCTACAGCTGCTCCAGATGCCGGCTTGTCCTGTTCACCACTGCAAACATTCAGCATAGCACTTGCGGCCCGCTGTTTCTGGAGTCTAGGTACCTCAGTAGTACCCTTTTTCCCTTTTTATTTCGGGGTCTCCTTATAGAAGCTGAGCATTATTCCGTACACCCTAAACCCTAAAGCTAGGGTCACTGGGGAACCTAGGAGTGTTTGCCTTGGATGAGGGCTGATGGCCGCGAGGGAAAGATTGTCTGTCTATGTGGTGCTAAACTCGGCCGGTACACTTGGGGAGGTCACTGGGTTCCTCCTTAAATGAAGTTACCATAATATGGGGGTTTACAGGGGTATATGGGGGTATATAAGGTTTAGGGTTTAGGGTTTGGGAATTTAGATTAAGTTACCAGAATGGGTATATATGTACCCGAAACCCGAAACCCGAAACCCTAAATCCTAATAGGGCTTCTCCAGTATAACAGCAACCCAGGTCAGACATGTGGCTGTGGCTGTCGGCAGAAGCCCGCCTTCTGTATTCCCCGAGATAAGGTCGAGATACAAGCTGCAGACTTGTGATGCGGTCAATCCTAGTTGCCCGGAACATCGCAATAGGATGCTAGCGTTTGTTTCACTTGGTGGAGTACAAAGATGGAAAGGCTACGCCTTCTTTCGCCCAAAGAGACCATCTGCACCAAAGGACCCTAATCTCGTCACATGCTGGAATAAGCCTAAACCCTAAACCCCCACCCCACGGCTTTGGCCTTTTGTGCAGCCGCGCAATGTGCTGAGTTTTGCCTTGGCTCATGTACAGTGTACAGCGTTTTGCCTTGGCCTATGTGTACAATCTAGCCCTTCAGCAGCATGCGCTAAGAATGTTCGAAGTCAGGATGCCCTAAACCCTAACCCTAAACCCTCAACCCTTAAAGGCCTAGAATTCCCAAGCCACAAGCTCAGTCCCACGATGGCGAGCAGAGAAATGGGCCTTCCAGGATTGCTTCGTGTCTAGTTTTGCGGATGTGCGCAGTCTTGCTGTTTCGAAATACAAGTGGTAGCTGTATAGATAGGGGGATGCCAATATAGATCCCCTCAATACTATAGTTTAGGTTCATTTTGATGGAAGCTTTTCGAACCATAATTGCTGGTAGATGGATCACTATCCTTTTTTCTTTTTGCAGGTTGTTGCCTGTTTGTCTTGGCTCATTTGTCCGCAAAGTCATCATGTGTTCGCTTTGTGATAGAAAGAATCTTTGATCTAGTTGGCACCATCTAGCATTGTTTCTTAGGGCAATTTCGCATGAGTAGCATTGTTTAGCACTATTCAGTACACCCCTCAACCCCTAAATTTCTAAACCCCCGTAACCCATCCTGAGCCCCGAATTCCTTCCTTGGACTTCTCCGAGGTCCTCTGCGGTCTACCCCTGCGTGAAGTCGGGGCTCTGGGGCGCTGATGGCCAGAAGATCCAGCAGATGCTTACCGACCGGATGCGGGACCCGAGCTACAGCTAGAAATTGAAGGGTTATAAAGGGAACATATTATATTGGGGTTATAGGGATGATGGAAAGAAAATGCAAAGTACTATTCAGGTTTTATTGTTAAGGGATTAAGACCTTGAATGAACCACAACCAGCACTAATCTCTAACCCCTAAGCCCTACACCCTAAACCCTGAACCCTCAACCCTAATCCCTAAACCCTACTACTTAACCCTGAAGCCAATTCCCCGGCCCGGAGCCCCAAGCTCTGATTCCCAACCCTTGTGTGTTACGACTTCGGTTTGAAAGGGTTGGGGTTCAGTGTAGAAAGCCCGAAGCAATTACTCCAAAACCCAACCCCAAACCCTAAACCCTAAACCCTAAACCCTAAACCCTAAAGCCTAAAGCCTAAACCCTAAACACTGAAACCCGAAACCTTTTGGGTTTAGGGTTTAGACTCCGACTTTGGGATCCTCAGGGAGTTTTCCTTTGTACCCTTAGGGTGTACGCTTGGGTTTGGATCTCGGACTATGGCCTTTAATCAGGGTTTTTTTGGGACCCATACCAAGGTTACAGACGGTTTAAGGTTTAGGGTTTGAAGCCCAACACTTGCAACCATTTTTCTTGACCGCTAAACCCTAAACCCAGTTCCTATTTTTGACCTTCCATTGTGTCCTTTCCATATGATTCTCCATTTTTTGGGTAGTATTCCACGTCAGGGACACAGGGTTTAGGGGGGGCAGGGTTTAGGGTTTGGGGGTCAAGGACTGGGTCTTAGACCCTAAGCCTTAAACCCTAAACCCTAAACCGAGGTTCAGGGTTTGTTGCAAGTGTGATGTGGAAGAGGGTCGGAGTGCACTGGGTTAAAGCCCCAACTGTAAAGACCTAAACCTTAGTCCCTATACCCCCACCCCAAAGCCGGAATCCCAAGCCCTTAACCCGAAGGGTTTAGGGTTTAGGCTTTAGGGTTTAGGGTAAACCTTAAAGTCTCAAAATGATGTTGTTTGAAATTATGACGATCTTGCTAGGTGCAGGTCCCCTCCCACCCCAAGAACTGCTGCCTTACATAAGCGACTTCTGGTTCTCATAGAGGCACTTTTGGTTCTCATAGAGGCAGTTTCAGTTGGCGGGTTGATTGCGGGCAGTGTTATAGGGAGATCAGGTAAACTCAATGGATGATCATAGTGACCTGCTGTCCCTATAGTCCCCCTTAAGCAGATGGAATATGGCTTTGGGTATAGTATAATAAGATCCCCGCATACCCCATATTCTATCTACTTGATGGGACTATAATTCCCACACCCTTCTAAGGTTTCTGAACATATCCAGCCGCCCGCCCTTGCCAAACACCCGCGTACATCCACCAGACTACTCACAAATCGTGAAGTCTCATCATGAAACCTCATAACTGGGTCAAAGTTGAACATAATTTGCATAAGATACTCTACTTTGAACACCCAAATGTGGAACCAGATAGCCCCTTGAAGCAATTTCTTGACGGGCAGGAGCGGATACGGGAGAATCGCAAGCTTTTGGAGCCTTTGCCGCACATGCTACCGTTAGGTGACTGGATGTGGTAGACATGGTCAGTTTGACCCGCCCCCATGTAGGTCCGTAGCATCCTATGATAGTTCCACACGGTTTAGGGTGTAGGGTCTTAGTTTGGGGGTTGGGTTTACCCAAATCCTCTTAGTTAGGATGGCGTTAGAGTTGAGGATCAGTACTGAGGATCAAGGGCTGCGAAGTATTGGTAAACGCACGCCTCAGAATCCCGAGAACTTACTTCCCAGCTAAGATATCTGGGCGTTTCCCAAGATTGCCATACGTGCCCCTGAATATTCTGTTCCCAAAGGGGTGGCCTAAGTCCTTGTACACCCTAAAGTCTGGACCTGAGCACCCGCTATATACCTCTATACTTACAACCCCTTACGTGGTCTAAGAAGGCAGAAACGCGGCAGAAACCACGTACAGCCTCCCAAACCCTAATCCCTAAATCCTACACCCTGAATCCTAAACCCTCAACCCTAACCTTGCAAGCCTCAGGACTGCGTCTCCTTCTTCAAAGGCCTCCCGCCACGGCAAATCGAACTGCTGAGCTCAGCCATCGTGGAAGAGTCGGTGCCCGGACCTAGGGCGCTCAAACACTTGCATTAGGCTTTGGTTTAGGGTTTAGGGTTTAGGGTTTAGGCCCAACAAGCCTCCAGTTTAGGTCTCTATAGATGTAAACCCTTAAGCTGAAATTCTTCGGGGTCAAATGCATGTCGAAATTCATGTGTCTTATACAAAGATCAATAAGGAATGTAGACTCATATCGACAAACCACCAGAGTCAAACTTCAGTATCTTTGTTGCTTGGGCTTCCATCTTGAAGGCTTCAGAGTACTTCTCACCTAAACGGACCCTAAGGCTCCTGTATCTTCTTGCAATCGCCACATGCCCCTGGGGTCTCCAAGGGCATTCTTGCTTGAGAGCTTCCCTACATGTCCTACAACTTTCGGTGGCAGATCCCGACCCGAATTTTCTTAAGCAGAGGTTGCGCCCATGCGGGAACAGATCCTGCTCATGATATCTCGAGGTTTATGCTGAAGAGAGGTAGGGAGGACACGGATGTGGAAACCGGAGGCCGTTTTGGGTTTAGGAGTGGGTTTTCAGCTGGCATGTATGCCCCTGTGCAGACCTCACTCGGGTTGGGATTGGTGGGTAGCCGCAGTATGGGTCCTTGATATCCTGGTTGTCTTGAGGGCATGTACTCCTGAAGTCCTCAGAGTGAAGACCCTGTCCTGCTTGTCCCAGCACGAAGCCTTCCTTCTTGCACCTCAGAGCCAGAAGGCCGCACAAGAAAGCTAAACGTGGAGTGCCTGAAGTCGTTTGCTCCACTCAACACGAGAACCGGCCGCCTACTACCGTGCTGAATTCATTTTCCTCCTCTGCAGAACCCCTAAGCATACCCAACCCAGACCCGTGATGAATAAATTCCACTCCCCTTGATAAGGATCATAATATGGACCCCCAATATTCAGGCCCTTAAAAGGAGGGGGTTTATTAATCAGGGGTCTATATTAAACCCAGCTGATGTGGAAGTTTCCTACTTGTAGTTCCGCCGGTCCTGGCTCCTTAAGACCCCGACCCGGGCACGAACTGCCCTAGGTGCCAGCTGGCACAAAGGCGGGTGCTGCGTTTCAGGGTTTTCATGTTTGCCACGTGGATGGGGACTTTGGGTCTTTGTAGAAGGTAGCTCCTTTTCAAGTTTGGTCATATAATCAGAACCTAGCATCGTGTCCTTTCCCCAGGCCTTGAAGGGGTAATGCAAGGGAGATTGAAAGCAGCCCCCGCAAAGAGTCAACTTTCATTTCCTTATTCTCTGAGGGTTCATGAGTTTCCTGCTGTCCCTGAACTCGAAGTATTTAAACGTCGGGACACGGCTCATGAGAACAATGGAGGCCAAATGGCAAAGACAATGGAACACAACATGGAAACTAGCTTATATAGTTTTTTTTGTTTTTTAAGGATTTCGCATAGCCAGCACCTTAAATTATTACGCCATAGCCGTCATGCGATTCCTGTAAGGTCCTGATTATGAGGGTTGGTGCTACCAAACTCCTGCCCCCAAACTCTAAACCCTAACTTTAAAGCAAGTGCAGGTTGTGGCCAAGGGCGAGACCTCCACAGCCCTGTACTTCATTCGCAAAGGCATCATGACTGAAGGGTTTAGGATTTAGGGTCTAGGTGCAGAGTATTTTTTCCGGAGTCGTAGAGACGAAGGGGGGAGAGGTGGTTGCAGGGTTGGGGTGTTGTCGGATTGATGCAGGTGTTGAGCGGGCTTTTCGGCATCCGTGATACTAGGAACATCCAGGAACCCCAAATGAGTAGTATTTATTTGGGGATACTATGGTACCCATTATAGAGTAAGATCAGATCCTCCTTTTGGGGTATATCATTTTATATAAGGAATATAATCTTATTGGGTTTAACCACCAAAACAACTCTACTCAAATAGGAACAACAATCTGGAATCTGGAAGCATTCCTGACAGGCCTATGCGCGGAACTTCCTCAAGCCTACAGTTTCGGGAAATTCTTAAGCCCCGCCCATCCCCTAGCCAAAC